GGAGGAAGTCGGGTCGTCTTACTGAGATCCCCATCCCTTCTTGTCCCATCCTCCCTGAAGGAGTTTCCCATCACAGTGCCTTGTGCCACCACAGGCCCAAGAGCAGGACTGAGGTCTCTGAAACTGAGACAAATGAACCTTTCTGCCCGATGACACCTTGGATATTTTGTCACGTGGACAGATCCGACTAAGACACCATCCAAGGCCAGACCTGAGAACCCTCCCTTCCTCAAGGCCAACTTGTCCCCCATCTCACTGATTCTGAGCCTCTCTGCCCAAGATCTACAGACAAGCTCTACAGCTGGCAGCTGGCCCTCAGAGCCATGGACTCAGGTGCTGGAGGGAGACAATCCTATCCACACTACCGTACCCCCCTGAGGACTTCCAGAGAATTGCTGGGCCTCAAAGACTTCCTTGTCTGTGATAATGTCACTGTGAGCAGGAGGGGCCACAGGCAGCTAGGACCTTGGCATGCACAGGTATCCCAGGAAGGTCCTGACTTGCAGTAAGACACACTGAGGCCACAGCTGCCACACACACACACACACACACACACACACACACACACACACCCTGCATCTTCTTGTTCTCAGAGTAATATGCTGTCACAGGCTGCCTGTCATGAGGACCCGTCCAGGAGGTCAGAACCCAGGGGATTCCTGGGCCAGAGACGGGCCAGTCTTGGCAGAAGGCGCTTACCCTGGTCCCCTCCCCTGCAATTAGAAACCCCACTGACACAGGCAGCCATTGGGGCCTTGTGGGTCGGCTGATGGAGAAGGCTGCAGGAAATCTGCTTTGTAATAAAACTGTTCATAAAAGGCAAATGTCGATTAAAGGCTCCGCTTCTGCGGGAAATCACTTTTTATGTCCCTATGTGAGTCTAGGAGAAGCAGGCGTAAGGCCTCAGGGGACTTGCAGGGGGCCATGGCCCACAGCTGAAAGCCTTCAAGAAGTTGCAGTTTCGAGGGAGCCCAGATGCCCCCACACTCCAAAAGGCTACCCCCCCACCCCCACCCCACACACAGCCTCTCTCTAGGAACCCAGGAAGTGAGAGAAAGCTACAGATGGAAAGCAAGGGAGACCTCTGGCATTCCACCCACCCCCACCCCCGCGCCGCATCGGAAACAGTGGGGGCCCCCTCTACAGGAGCCTTGAGAAAGCAAGCGGCCCCACTGTATACACGGAGGGGGTGACAATCTGGGCGGAAAAGCCTGTCTGGACTCAGCACCTGTTCTTGAGGGCTCATTTCAGAAGTTTGCACTCGGAGGAAGTCATGAGGGATTGATCCTAGATGTGGGGAGGCCACTGGGCTGGCAGTCTTGAGGGGCACAAAGGTTAAGATGACCCTTTTACTCAGACCTGACAGCAAGCTCCTCCTGCCACTGTGAAGAGCATTCCGGGGGCTTCCGAGGGCAGGTGAATTATCACCTGCTGACCAGGACAGCCTTTCACAATGCAAGGTCCAGCTAACGGCAAAGAAGAGCGAGGTGGACTTCATCACTCCTGGGCCACCGTCAGCAGGGCCAGTAGTCGCCACAAAGGGTCTCCCAGGTAGAGCAGGCAGTGGTGAGGCTGGAGAGCCAGTGAGGTTCCTATGGGCGGCCGGGACACTGTTACAAATGCAGGTCTCAGGAAAAAGCCAGTTGTGGAAGCCATCTATATATTACGTAAATGAAAAAAAGAAATAAGAAAGGAAAGGAACACGACTAGTCTCAGGTTTCTGCACCAGATGAATGAAAAAACGAAATAGAGAGGAAGGGACATGACTGGTCCTAGGTACAGTGGAGAAGAAACTTTATTGTAGATAAAAGGGAGAGCATGGCCAGAGGCAGGAACATCTAGGAGAGTCCAGAGAGGACATGACCAGACTGAGCTGAGCCATGTGAAGAGCAGAGGGGTGGGGGTGGGGGTGGGGTCGGGGGAGTCAGGTGCAGCAGCCAGGAGGCCCAAAAGAGGACAGGGTAACCAAAATGGTTGGGTTATATAGGGAAGGGCATCTGGGGGAAGGGCAGCCCAGCCCCTGGGCTGCCAAAGTTCAGGGTAGGGGGCACAGTATGCCAGCCAGGATGGCCCTCTAATAGGTGGAAACTGAGGGATGCATCCGCTTTGATATGTTAAATAGACACCTCAGCCATTTGTCCCAGGTTTGAAACCTAACAGTGTGCACCTGTCACCTAAAGAGAAAAGTTTTAAAGCCTAGCGAAGTGACCAGGGTTCTGCAGAGGCAGATGCCCACAGCATGGTATACTTGCCTGGTGCATCAGGCTTTGGACCCAAACCGAGGCCTTGCATGTAGCCCCTGCTCTGAACTTCCTGGGGGCAGTCTAAGATCCCCAGAGACCCCAGATGCTCAAGTGTCCTCAGGTAGGTGTCTACACACACACCTACCCTCGGTGAGCACTGTGTGCCTCCACACGCTAGCACGCCCGGCCTGATGCCAGCACTCTGTCCTAGGTTTTCCCACTGCGCCGGGAGAGGTAACAACAGCGGGAAAAGTTGGCAGGTGTTCCTACAAACGCAGTATTTTTTCAGGCTTTCCATCCTCTTTGAACCCACCAACAGCGCAGAACTGGCGGGACACCCGGAGCCAATTGAAATTACAACACAAATTAGATACCCCCAAAAAGCACCTCTGGTCAAAAGCAAAATGAAACAAATGAACCTCAGTCCGTGTGGACTGGAAGTGTGGCCGCCCAGTGGAGAGTACCAGAGCAGCGTGGCTTCGCTCCGGGCATGGCTGAGAACCGGGCCACACAGCTGCAGTCTTCCCTGACCAGGGACTTGGCTATGACTTGAGTCCTGTGTGCCTCGTGGCGTAACGATGTGAAGACGTTGTGAAGATGTTGCATTTGATTTTGCTCTTGAAGCCAGGCATGCTCAGTGGGGGTCAGCAGCCTCCACCTACTCCTTCCTGGAGGCCACTGTTTCTGATCTCCTGAGTCAGAGGTAAGAGTGCAGAGCAAAACATTCAGGACCTCTGTTCCCAGCAGCCCCTCTGTCCCAGCAGCCAAGGCTTGGACTCCCAGGGACTGCTTCCCCATGCTGCTGGTGGTCTTGGGTGGCCCGGTCATCCCAGCCACCATGGCACCCCCTGCCCCTACACAGCGAACCACACAGAACTTAAGCTGAAAGAAGCCCAGGTCCTGTCTGACTAGGCTGTGAACCTCCAAGACATGTGCACCTGTCCCTGCCTACCATGGACCCTCTTACAGAACAGACTGCCCACTGTGAGTCACATGACACCATAGCTTCCTGCCAGGCCACAGCCTAAGTTGGCTAGGGAGACCCCTCTGCATCAGACTGAGCCTACAAAAACCTTGAGCCCCTGGATTCCACACCTATCTGACCCCTCGGAGCTGGGGAATCGTGCTGGGCAGGGGGACAGGCACTCTGAGGCCCAAGAACCAGAGTTGTGCCCAACCAAGACGGTCCTGGACCCACTCCAGGTCACCTGGGTCCAGCCTAGGGCTCCATACAAGCCTCACTCCGTTCACGTCCCCCTCCCTCTCCTCACTGTAATTTACAAGGCAGCTGGAGCACAGGATATTTTTAATAAAAATTAGGTACAAGCAGATACAGGGGATTAATAGTTGTATTATGATTTTATAGTTCTCCATATACAGCCTCATGGAAAAGACAATCAGAGCAGAGCCATTCCAGGCAGATAAAATGGGGCATTTATTTTTAATGGAAAGAGAATTTCAGGGCTCACTCAGCCGTGGAGAAAGTGCCGTGGAGGGCTCTGAGGGCGGAACAAAGGGAGGCTGGAGGCTTGGCCGCCCTGGTGAAGAGGCTGGGAGGGAGAAACCCCCTTACTGGAACAGGGAGGGTCTGCCTAGTGGGCAGCAGAGGGCCAAGTGGCAGCCCATGATGACCCAAGCCCCCCCCCTCCACTTCCTGGAAGCCCTGGGCAAATCTCTCCCAACCTCAGTTTCCCCTCCTGTACGCAGCTGTAAAGAGGGAGACTCCCAGGATCTGATAACCTCCACCCTTCCCCCAGGGAACTGCATCCTGACCTGGGCTCACAGCTCTGCCTTGGACCAAGTCCTTCTGTGTGCCAGCAGCAAGTGGCCAATTCTGTTCTTAGAAAGCCAGGGTGCTGTGTTGTCCATGGAGTGCCTGGCTGGGCTGCTTCAGACATGCTCAGCTGGAGAGGCCTCTCCCCGAGGTCCCTGCATGATTATCAACACAGGCAAAGTCTGACCAGGACCCGTGAGGCTGGCTTTGAGTCCCAGGGCTTGCTTGGGAATGCTTGGTGATGGGAAAGGTCTATGGTAGTGGGGAAGGACCCATTTGGGGCATAGCTTCAAAGCTACAGACTCATAGCTGGTACCTCTGCCTGGCTTGGCTAGAGGACGAGGCTTCAAAGACTTACCAGCCTTCATTCCTCATCTACTCTCCCAGCCCCTACAGGGAATTCTGAGCTCTGGGCAGGATGAGGAGGTCATTTCGGTTGCAGTGGGAGCCGCACACAGGCTGGGGCTCCACTTACCGGCCCGTGCCACTGTTCCCGATACACCTGTCCAGTCTCCGCAGGTGCCTCACCTCAGAGTCTGGAGGAAGTGGTCATTGGCCTGGTCTTGGCCCTCTGACTCCTGACCCTAAGGGCTCTTGGCAGCCAGCAAGTGGTCAGGCCTTTCAAGGAGAGAAAGAATCTTAAAGACCTTCCCTCAAGGGCTCCTAACCCAGTGAAAAAGAAAGCCTACATTAAGTCATGGCCACAGGCCACAGGCCGCAGGGAGCATAACAGGACAATGGAGAAGGGGAAGATATGAAATGAGTATGGCTGGTCTGCAGGAGCCTGGGGTCTGTGGGAGTCCAGGGTCTGCAGGAGCCTGGGGTCTGTGGGAGTCCGGGGTCTGCAGGAGCCTGGGGTCTGTGGGAGTCCGGGGTCTGCAGGAGCCTGGGGTCTGTGG